CTTACCTGATAGTTTTTTTGTATTTTAAAAATGTGTTTATGGGAATTGTTTATATTTTAGTTACTAGTACTTCGTTATATATATACACATAAAGTATCAAAAAGTGAATCTACCAGGGCACACCACTATCCCGGTCAATAAATGGAAATTTGTACATTTTTCTGTCACTCTGTGACTTGCTTTTGCACAGTCTTAATCGTATTTTTGGTGAACAGATGCTGTAGAAAAGGCTGTCACGCCCTTGCATTTTGATGGTGCAGACACCCGTCCAGAGGTGGACATTCTGTTTCTTAGCTCTGGATCTGGGCTCGAGCATGTGATTTGCTTTGTCCCATGTGACAGTAGTAAATATGATGAACGAAGAGGCTTGAAAAGTACTTAAACGTTAGAACGAGCCTTCTCTTGCTGCTGGGACCCTTCTGACTTCCCGTGACCAAACCTGGCTTAGGCTCCTAGAGGAGAAGAGACCACAAGCAGTGAGGTCCCCGCCATCCCAGCCTTCCCAGACATCTAAGCTGAGGCCCTAAACGTGTGTGAAGCCATCTGATCATCCACCTTCACCCGAGCCAGCCAAGATCAGAAGAGCAGCTCAGGCAATCCACAGAATGTCAGCTCTCCTTTCCCCTTACATTAATAGAATCCGCTGGCCCATGGGAATCCTCTCTGTGGCAGTGTACCAGCTTTGGAGAAGGGCAACATAGTATAAGTGAAGCCATTCCTCTTACACTTTTGTCTTAGTCTGTTTTGTTTTGCTATAAAAGAATACCCGAGATTGGGTAATTTCTTTAAAAAAGAGGTTTATTTAGCTCACACTTGTGTGCATTGAGAAGTCGAAGGGCATGGCACTGGCTTCTGCAGAGGGCTTTCAGTCTGCACCACAGCATGGTAGAGAAGGTTAGAGGGGAACAGACACGTGTGAAAAGGAGAAAACCTGAGTGGCGTCCTGGCTTTATAACAGCCCACTCTCGTGGGAACTAATTCATTCCCATAAGAACTAATCCAGTCTCGAGAGAGTGAGAACTCACTCACTACTTTGAGAACAGCACCAAGCCATTCATGAGGGATCCAACCCGTAACCCAAACCCCTCCCACTGGGTCCCACTTCCCAACACGCCATACTGGGCGTCAAACTTCACCATGAGTTTTGGTGGGGACAAACAACCCATATCCGAATCGTAGCACTTTCTAGTGTGGCTTTTCTCAGTTCTGTGGTGTCAGAGGGTGTCTAAACCCGACTTTCAGGTTCTGAGGTATTCACAAATGCATTCCTCTTTGTGGATAGCTGCCAGCTGGATTTCTGTAAGGGAGACTGGAGCCAGGGAACCTCTATTCTGCCATCGTGCTGATATCACTCTTGTTTTCTTCTTGAAATATAATGCTATTTCAGTTTCTTAGCCACCTTTGTTCATCTCTTTGGGGTTAATGTGTCTTTTTTTTTAATCAGTTGATGAGAAGTACAAATCAACCGAAAAACCAAAGCCAGTAAAAAAGAGAGCTCAAGCGGGAATTGGTCCCGTTGCCCCTGCAGCCATCAGAAATGACATCATAAAGCAAGGAGCTGCCCCAGAAGTCTCTCCTCACATTAAGGTAGGATGGGGCAAGTGGAGCGCCCTTCGTCCTTACAAGAACACCTTCTGGTCACTGTCTCTGTCATTTCCCACAGTGGGGCCCTGTGTTCTTTATCTCACAGCATGCAAGTAAGGAAAACAAGGCAATAATATAAAAAGTGTGTCTGGGTAACAAAAAGAGAAATTGCCTCAGATTCATCAGATTAAACACCTTTTGAACTTTTAATCTCTGCCAGACCTTGGACACATTAATACTTTGTTATAGGTTGGATTCCTTAAGAAGAAAACTCTGAGATGGACAGTTGTTGTCAGGAAGTATATTGTAGAGTGCTTTCAGGATTAATATCTCTGAGGAAAAGAAAAAAGAAGGAGAAGAGGAAGAATTTCAAGTCCAGTGCAGGTCCAAGACCTCAGCCTGTCCCACAGGGGCTCAGTGGCTGAGAAGGCCTTTTAGGATCATCATGCTTTAGATGGAGGGGGAAGCCCTATATACACCTGCATTGACCCAGGCGAGGTGGCCCTGCTTAGCTGAGGGAGTAATGCCTGGACTTGTTCTCCATGAGAATGATTATCTTGGTCCTGGGGGAGCAGAAGGCAACATCTGAGAGTCTCACCACAGAATCCACCACACACATGCAATTTCATTTCCTGGGAAACAGGTACTATATCATTTTATAGATGTGTGAGCTGTAGAAAATCATTGTACATACTCCATTCTCTTTGTCTAGAGTAGCTACTTCCTCTGGGATTGGCCCAGAGTCTTCTAGATTTGTCAGGGAAACAAGATCCAGGTAGAAGTGATGTGTTTCAGTCATCACTTATGGAAATATGCATTGTTTAGTCTGGAAGCCCAATGAAAGTTACATGGGACCAAAGAGAAGCAAATGTGTTGTGGACCTCAGTGAAGCTGACATTTTCCTGTGCTGGTCCACACCGAGTCTGTTTGTGTCCATCAGGGTCTTCTTACGCACTGACATTCCAGGTCCCATCAGAGATCCAATTCAGAAACTCCTACACTTGGCCTTGTATGCCTCTGTTTTTTCTTTTTCTCCCAGTATTTCCTTTTGGCTTTGGACAGCAAGTTGCTTTTTAAAAGTAGTATTTTCTCCCAAAACAGAACCAAAAAAATCTTGTCTCTGTTAATTCAGAAAAAAACAGAAAACACATAAGGAAGAGAATAAAATTACCTATAATCCTATCATCTAGAGAAAACCATATTTTACATTGGTAAATATATCTCTAGTGTGTTTGTCTGTGATTTAATTGTTTAGTTATCCAATAAGTAATATATTACCTATTCTGTTTAGGACCTTACCCTTTATTGAATCAATTTTAATAGTTTATCATCTTATTCCTCTAAAGCATTTTTAAAATTTGTATAGTAATATACTAGATTTTATTTAATCAAATCCCTTTTTTGAGTAATTAAATTATTTCAAATTTTATAATTATAGATAATAAGATATAATTCTTTTATGTAAACCTTAGTGCATAACTTATTATATCTAAGGGTAAATTCATAAAAGTAGAATTGATTCTCCTTTATAATTTTCCCTTTAACTCCCTTGTAGGATCTCTGACCTAGGTTTCCCCCTTTACTCTCATTTAACTTAATCTGTACTTTTATTATGCACAGGGCCTCACAGGAATTTGGGGGACTCTGTGCAGATCACTCAGCTCTCTTAGTTTTATACTAGAGTAAAATGAATATTCAAGATAGTATTGGTTAGAGAAACAAGGACATATTATCCCCAAATGGAATGAGTAGAAGAAAACAGGATCAGATTTATCCCTTTGCCTTAGCAATACTTCAGAGACCCAATGAACTCTTTACATACAGTAGATAGCAACACAAAGATTCAGGCTCAGGGAGCATGCCTCCAAAACCTATTACACTGTCTCATATGAATACAGAAGTTGAAATCTTCCTTCTGCATTCTCTTTTCTATCTAGATAATTCTAGGCCTCAAATCTCTTCCCAATCCCTCCTTATCCCCTATTTTGAGTCCACCTGTCTTCCTATTGGCTGGCTTCCTAAAGTTTAACATTGTGGGTAAAGTAAGGTTCTCTTACTAATACCTTCTTTACCCACAGCTGATATCTTTCTTCCGTTGTCTTCAGCCTAAGCAGAAACAGATGGTGGCCCAGCAGCAATCTGTCAGCGAGGAAGGGTTGCAGAAAGGCCGTTTGACAGTCATGGTGCTGAAAGCAACGAAGCCCTTCGAGTTTGAGACCCAAGAAGGCAAGCAAGAGATGTTTCATGCTACGGTGGCTACAGAGAGGGAATTCTTTTTTATAAAAGTTTTCAATACACAGCTAAAAGATAAATTCACGCCAAAGAGAATAATTATAATATCAAAATATTATTGGCACGATGGTTTCCTGGAGGTGAATAGTGCCTCCCTTGTGTCTGATGCTGAATCCGACCAAAAGATCAGTGTCCCAAACCACATCATCAGGAAAGCGGGTGAAACCCCAAAGATCAACAAGCTTCAAACTAAGCCCACTGGAACAATTGTGAATGGGGTGTTCATAGTCCAGAAGGTAAGTTCCTATAAATAATTTTATATTGGATAGCAAGAATAAAATATTTTTCACCCTGAGCTTGAAGCGACTTTAAAAATTATTTATTTTAATGCCTTTTTATGTAGATAAAATCTAAAACAAATAAACACCAAAGTACTAAATCAAGAGTTAACATGCCAAAATGCAAACAAAAACTCAAAAATAGCGTTTTTATTCTCAAGAAGATGTCAAAATCCTGTTTCACCTCCTATTTATCCTTGTGGCCTCTGGAAAGGGATTAATTACTTCATATTCAAATAATTTTTACCCTTTGTGTTATTTTTGGACTTCATACATATCACCTTTATTCTAAGTGATAATCGTGAATGCAAAATAACTGTAGTTGGGTAACAAACCAGGTTAATTGACCTGGAAAACCAATAAGCAGGGCAGGATTTAAAAACTGTGATTAAATGCAGAAAATAGAAGAAAGAATTTGTTTAAAGAAACTTATTAGAAGTGAGAAATAATAAAGTGTTATGATTCTGAGCTTCAGAATTGGCCTCGTGGATGACTTTTTCTTGTTTAGGACAGGACCTGAAGAACCATAGTGAGGTTCTTCTGCTGACCCTACATCCAGAAAACTTAGGATAACCTTTGTTGTCCTGGGCTAGTTGCGGAAGAACTGATAGGAAGAATCTGTTCTCCCGGAAAATTCAAGCATAAATGACCTTGGATAGGAAAGCCATATTCTTTATCCTAGTTTTAAGCCTTCAATATGGCCAGCCAACCACTAATATGTATTCATTTAGCCCACAAAATTAAAGCGAAAATACTATTAATATCAATGTCCTAAATAACTGAGCACCACCCTATTCCCTTGGATCTGGACTTGATTGTGAATTATTTCTGGTCCTTAATTCCTTACTGTTATTTAGACTCTTTACTAGGTTTTGCATCATTGCCTCATGTCTCTCCTGGATTTGTTGCTTTAAATAACTCTCCTGTAAATCCAGGATCATCATTTCCCCTGACTATTCTGGCCTCTGGCCCTGGAGAGGCCCTATCTTCTCCATTCACCAATTGTTGCTTCTATGGATCATTCTAGTCTCCCAGAGGAAGGGAGCTTGGGACTGCAAAGATGGACACAGGAGGCAACATATTCTAAGTAAGACATATCTGCCTCCCTGATCTGAATTTGCTAACATTAGCTATATATTAGATATATACCTGCTGGTTTCAAAGCTGGATTTTTTCTTACACAGTTGACCTTTGAACAATTTGGGGATTGGGGCCGCCAGCCCCCACACAGTCAAAAATCTCTGTATAGCTTTTAACACCCCCAAAACTTAACTACTAATAG